TCGTGGAGGAGAATATTTGAGTTACGAGTTTGGTCTACCTATGAAACAATGCGGAATAGTTTCGCAACTCACGCCACCCGGAACACCACAGCGTAATGGTGTGTCCGAACGTCGTAATTGTACTTCACTTGATATGGTGCGATCTATGATGTCTCTTATAGATTTACCGCTATCGTTTTGGGGTTATGCTTTAGAGACGGCCGCATTCACGTTAAATAGGGCACCATCAAAATCCATTGAGACGACGCCTTATGAACTATGGTTTGGCAAGAAACCAAAGTTGTCGTTTCTCAAAGTTTGGGGCTGCGATGCTTATGTGAAAAAGCTTCAACCTAATAAGCTCGAACCAAAATCGGAGAAATGTGTCTTCATAGGATACCCAAAAGAGACAGTTGGGTATACTTTCTATCACAAATCCGAAGGAAAAACTTTTGTTGCTAAAAATGGATCCTTTCTAGAGAAGGAGTTTCTCTCGAAAGAAGTGAGTGGGAGGAAAGTAGAACTTGATGAGGTAACTGTACCTGCTCCCTTATTGGAAAGTAGTACATCACAGAAACCGGCTTCTGTGACACCTACACCAATTAGTGAGGAAGCTAATGATGATGATCATGAAACTTCAGAACAAGTTACTACTGAACCTCGTAGATCAACCAGAGTAAGATCCGCACCAGAGTGGTACGGTAATCCTGTTCTGGAAGTCATGCTACTAGATCATGATGAACCTACGAACTATGAAAAAGCGATGGTGAGCCCAGATTCCGCAAAATGGCTTGAAGCCATGAAATCCGAGATGGGATCCATGTATGAGAACAAAGTGTGGACTTTGGTTGACTTGCCCAATGATCGGCAAGCAATTGAGAATAAATGGATCTTCAAGAAGAAGACTGACGCTGACGGTAATGTTACTGTCTACAAAGCTCGACTTGTTGCAAAAGGTTTTTGACAAGTTCAAGGGATTGACTACGATGAGACCTTCTCACCCGTAGCGATGCTTATGATTATGAAATTTGGCAGATGGATGTCAAAACTGCATTCCTAAATGGATTTCTGGAAGAAGAGTTGTATATGATGCAACCAGAAGGTTTTGTCGATCCAAAGGGAGCTAACAAAGTATGCAAGCTCCAGCGATCCATTTATGGACTGGTGCAAGCCTCTCGGAGTTGGAATAAACGCTTTGATAGTGTGATCAAAGCATTTGGTTTTGTACAGACTTTTGGAGAAGCCTGTATTTACAAGAAAGTGAGTGGGAGCTCTGTAGCATCTCTGATATTATATGTGGATGACATATTGCTTATCGGAAATGATATAGAATTTCTGGATAGCATAAAGGGATACTTGAATAAGATTTTTTCAATGAAAGACCTTGGTGAAGCTGCTTACATATTGGGCATTAAGATCTATAGAGATAGATCAAGACGCTTAATTGGACTTTCACAAAGCACATACCTTGACAAAGTTTTGAAGAAGTTCAAAATGGATCAAGCAAAGAAAGGGTTCTTGCCTATGTTACAAGGTGTGAAGTTGAGTAAGACTCAATGCCCGACCACTGCAGAAGATAGAGAAAAGATGAAAGAAGTTCCCTATGATTCAGCCATAGGCTCTATCATGTATGCAATGCTGTGTACCAGACCTGATGTGTGCCTTGCTATAAGTCTAGCAGGGAGGTACCAAAGTAATCCAGGAGTGGATCACTGGACAGCGGTCAAGAACATCCTGAAATACCTGAAAAGGACTAAGGATATGTTTCTCGTATATGAAGGTGACAAAGAGCTCATCATAAATGGTTACATTGATGCAAGCTTTGACACTGATCCGGACGATTCTAAATCGCAAACCGGATACGTGTTTACATTAAACGGTGGAGCTGTCAGTTGGTGCAGTTCTAAACAAAGCATCGTGGCGGGATCTACATGTGAAGCGGAGTACATAGCTACTTCGGAAGCAGCAAACGAAGGAGTCTGGATGAAGGAGTTCATATCCGATCTAGGTGTCATACCTAGTGCATCGGGTCCAATGAAAATCTTTGGTGACAATACTGGTGCAATTGCCTTGGCAAAGGAATCCAGATTTCACAAGAGAACCAAGCACATCAAGAGACGCTTCAATTCCATCCGGGATCTAGTCCAGGTGGGAGACATAGAGATTTGCAAGATACATACAGATCTAAATGTAGCAGACCCGTTAACTAAAGCCTCTTCCACGAGCAAAACATGATCAGCACAAAGGCTCCATGGGTGTTAGAATCATTACTGTGTAATCTAGATTATTAACTCTAGTGCAAGTGGGAGACTGAAGGAAATATGCCCTAGAGGCAATAATAAAGTTATTATTTATTTCCTTATATTATGATAAATGTTTATTACTCATGCTAGAATTGTATTAACCGGAAACATAATACTTGTGTGAAGACAAACAGAGTGTCACTAGTATGCCTCTACTTGACTAGCTCGTTAATCGAAGATGGTTATGTTTCCTAACCATAGACATGAGTTGTCATTTGATTAACGGGATCACATCATTAGGAGAATGATGTGATTGACATGACCCATTCCATTAGCTTAGCACCCGATCGTTTAGTATGTTGCTATTGCTTTCTTCATGACTTATACATGTTCCTATGACTATGAGATTATGCAACTCCCGTTTACCGGAGGAACACTTTATGTGCTACCAAACATCACAACGTAACTGGGTGATTATAAAGGTGCTCTACAGGTGTCTCCAAAGGTACATGTTGGGTTGGCGTATTTCGAGATTAGGATTTGTCACTCCGATTGTCGGAGAGGTATCTCTGGGCCCTCTCGGTAATGCACATCACTTAAGCCTTGCAAGCATTGCAACTAATAAGTTAGTTGCGGCATGATGTATTATGGAACGAGTAAAGAGACTTGCCGGTAACGAGATTGAACTAGGTATTGAGATACCGACGATCGAATCTCGGGCAAGTAACATACCGATGACAAAGGGAACAACGTATGTTGTTATGCGGTATGACCGATAAAGATCTTCGTAGAATATGTGGGAGCCAATATGAGCATCCAGGTTCCGCTATTGGTTATTGACCGGAGACATGTCTCGGTCATGTTTACATTGTTCTCGAACCCGTAGGGTCCGCACGCTTAACGTTACGATGACAATTTCATTATTAGTTTATATGTTTTGATGCACCGAAGGTTGTTCGGAGTCCCGGATGTGATCACGGACATGACGAGGAGTCTCGAAATGGTCGAGACATAAAGATTGATATATTGGAAGCCTATATTTGGATATCGGAATCGTTCCGGGTGAAATTGGGATTTTACCGGAGTACCGGGGGTTACCGGAACCCCCCGGGGGTTAATGGGCCTACATGGGCCCTAAGGGATAAGAGGAGGGCCGGCCAGGGCAGGTCGCGTGCCCCCTCCCCCCCAGTCCGAATAGGACAAGGAAGGGGGGGCGGCGCCCCCCTTTCCTCTTTCTCCCTTCCCCTTTCCTTCTCCAACAAGGCAAGAGGGGGGAGTCCTACTCCCGGTGGGATTAGGACTCCTCCAGGCGCACCCCTAGGGGGCTGGCCGCACCTCCCCCTGCCTCCTTTATATGCGGAGGCAAGGGGCACCCCAAGACACACAAGTTGATCTTCGTGATCGTTCCTTAGCCGTGTGCGGTGCCCCCTTCCACCATAGTCCACCTCGGTCATATCGTAGCAGTGCTTAGGCGAAGCCCTGCGACGGTAGAACATCAAGATCGTCACCACGCCGTCGTGCTGATGGAAGTCTTCCCGACACTTTGCTGGATCGGAGTTCGGGGATCGTCATCGAGCTTAACGTGTGCAAGAACTCGGAGGTGCCGTAGTTTCGGTGCTTGATCGGTCGGGCCGTGAAGACGTACGACTACATCAACCGCGTTGTTATAACGCGTCCGCTGTCGGTCTACGAGGGTACGTGGACAACACTCTCCCCTCTCGTTGCTATGCATCACCATGATCTTGCATGTGCATAGGATTTTTTTTGAAATTGCTACGTTCCCCAACAAGGGTTGCAAGCAAGGAGTTGGAGATTTGATTTATTCCTTCAAAAGACCAAGTTGCAGATGGGTTTACAAAGGCCTTGGCTACAAGACAATTTGAAGAGTTCAAACGTAATCTTAAGCTGAGAAGTTCAGATTAAGGGAGGGTGTTGAACATGCAATATGTTACAGAGGAGGAGGCGCCGTTGACACTTGGCATGGGCCAGCCTTTGGCGTGGCCGCACCCTTGACATGCTCGACATGGTGACTACTCTAGCGTAGGCTTTCTGTTGAGGTTGTTAGAGATAGTTCTCATGTTTAACTAATTCTATCTCTTCCTCTGATTCTCTCTATAACCACCGCTCTCAATTATGCAATCTCTACCTAGGCTTGTACCCATTGATCATCCTATCAATATATACATGCGGGCTCTCGTGTATGAGGGTTGAGATGCTTCCATAACTCTTTACACTTTGTAGTCAATGTTCCTTTGTCATTTTTGTCTATGTGGATATCTAGAGATGTCTTCATCTCTTGCAGCATGGAGGGGTGCTCTGCTTCTTTTTCTTATCTACCATAGTATTAGCTCCATTCAAAAAGTTTGTCTTAGATTTATCTAGATACAATGTAGAATACAGGGTGCTCTGCTTCTTGGCTGCATGGGAGGGAAATGCTACTACCATGTTTGGCTTCACTCACAGGTTACTTCCCATTCATTCTTTTACGAGAAACAGTAGGATTTCTCCTAGTGTGTGTACTTTTATTGATTTTGTTTGAGAAATTGTAGCAGCACTATACAAAAGGGAGTTTAGGATCCCAGGAAAAACAGAGAAAACTAAATACCATGTGGTTAAAATTAATAGAGTTGCAATCTATATGGTATTCCTAGGGTTCATCTCATATAAAACTGATATAACTCGATAACTCATAAATTGCATGACCGCCATAACATTTTCAGATACAGTCGGCTAATTATTGAAATCAATAGGCATACATGAGGCAGGAATGACATGTCATCACTTGGGGACAAGTAGGTTTATGAGGTTGCTGACGACACTACAATGCTCCGTCATCTCACGATCTATGTAGGACACGGGGGACTTCTTCTTGATCCATTTGAACGCTTCCTTGCATGTGTCACTAGCACCCATTGCAAATGAAACAACGTTCAATGTAGAAGGGTACAACCCTCTTTCGAAGTATAAGTCGGCAAAAATCTCCAGGGCACTAGTGGCTTCAGTGTAAGCCTTGAGGCAGATGGCAATTGCAAACCCCTCCGGTGTGCTCTGGTTGTTCTTGGATAGGTCACTGATGACCTCGACATTGTGTTTGGCGGTGTTAGTGGCGATATTCAACGCAATACTGGCGAGGTCATGCTCAGTGGAGGCATGGGAGCTTTGTGGCTTGACGGTAATCACGGCTATGCACAATGCGGTGTTGTTGGTCTTGTTACATGTGCAGGAGATGAAATCAGTGTCAGCATGGGCAACAAGGAGGCTAGAGGAAACGATGGCGAGCACGGCGAGAAACATAGCTACAAATGTTGAAACACTAACCATTGCATTTTGCATTTGGGGTGCATGCTGACTATATATATTTCTATATATAGACAACCCTCCAAGAGAAAATCCTTCTCAGATCTCCATACTAGTCACATAGTATTTATTTCTTTTGCTACATAGAATATGATGGCAAATCATTTCAATAAATGAATGACAAAATGACTGCTTTAGCTTTTGGGGTGCATGCCGACTATATGTATTTCTATATATAGACACCCCTCCAAGAGAAAATCCTTCTCAGATCTCCATATTAGTCACATAGTATTTATTGCTTTTGCTACATAGAATATGATGGCAAATCATTTCAATAAATCAATGACAAAATGAGTAATTTAGCTTTTGTGAATCCAGCTAGTGAATAAATGTACAAACAATTTCAGAAATCAAAAATAAAATAAACATAATCTATATCTCTATATGGAAAATCCTTGTGGTCTGATCTGCCTTAATTATAGTATATTTATTGCTTTTGCTACATGGACTGTAACAGCAAACCAAATAAATGAATGAATGAATGATCAAATGAGTGCTCTAACTCCCGTGAATTCATCTACTGAATCAACGTACAACCAGTTTTGCAAATGAACAAATAAAGAGTTAATTACATTTTTAGTACATAAACTTGCATTAGATGTATAGATTCAAACATAAACTTCAAAAATGACACAAATCAGCCCCACAACTTTTTTATGGGTACATTTGAGTACATTTCCCTTAACTCTGCAGCTAGTTGCCCCACGCTTCATGCATGCATGTGGGTCCCACTTGTCAGTGACGAAGAATGAAATAGAAACACAATAAACAATAATGCTTACATGATTTTAACATAAGACTTCCCCTTGCACGCGTATGGCACTAGCCACTGGGCCACCACCTAGCAATTGACAAATGTAGATATAGATATCATTTATATTGTATAGCAGAAAAATTGATTTGAATCTAAAATCGCGTTGCAAGTGGCTCATTTTGTGCGCGCCTCTGTTATCACCTTTTTTTCCCGCTCGACCGGTTATTAGAAATTTCAGTGAGCCCCTAATGTATTAGATATCATTCAAACTATCTAAGTTCTTTTAGTATTTACAAGCTCAGGTATATTATCAAATAGAGCTCGTATGCAAATGCTTTACTTCAAGTGATAATTCGAGCAAACCATCATCTTGATGTCCCAGGATCAACTTCCCCGATTTCACAAACCAGAATTTTTTAGCGTTGAATAACTGAGAAATTGCTTTTGGAGGCCAAGCTCCATGGAGGCCTCCAAATGCAAAATTCGAAATTCATGAAAATTCATACTTTTACATTTCATTCTTTTTGAGAAAATACAGATATACATGAAGACAGAATGCACAGGTGTGTAAATTTTCATCATGTAATACATTGAAATGAGGGATGTGCAAAAAAAAATCTGAGGCTTTTTAACAGATGATACTATTCATAATCCCAGACCATGAAATTTGTCTTTTTGGTACAGGGCACATTTCAACGTATATCATCCTGAAATTTTACAAAGAGGCACCTCACATCCTCGTTTATTTGTAAAAAAAGTTCAGATGTTTTTAAACCAAAAATTACATTTTTTTCAAACATTCGGCCTCTATGGAGGCTGAGATACGCCACACTATGAAGAAATCCAGTTAAAAAAGGATGATGTGGGTTAGACCTGCCTCGAACACGCACCCTTCTGATTAAAACATGGCAAGCTGACCGCTTGAACGGAAGACAATTTATAGATCGTGTCATTAAACATTATATATTTATACGGTAAAACATTTTGAATTAAAAATTCTGAACAAGAAAATTCCAAAAAAATTCAAGATTTTCCGAAAACTGGTTTATTCGGTCCCACTTTAAAAACCTAAATTGAGAAAAAAATCTGATCAAACCCCGAGCAGCGTGTATTTTGACTTCAAAATAGTCGTTTTGTTAAACAATACAAAAGATCTCTAGCTCTGTCATTATCAATAATTTCGTGGTGTTGCAACGTCCTGAGATCGAATCCTAGTATGCAAGCATGGAACATGAGACAGCTGACGTGAAAAGTTTAACGGAGAGTTAACGGCATTGATGGAAATGTACTTAAACGTACCAGAAAAACAAATTGTAGGGGCAATTTGTTATATATTTTCAACTTTATGTACGAATATGTATATACAGTGCAAGTTTATGTGTTAAAGTGTAATGAACTCACAAATAAATATAATCTATATCCATATGGACGAGTCCAAGAAAAACCCCTATGATCCGAGATCTGCCTTAATAAACACTATATATTTATTGTTTCTACTACATTAAATGTGATAGCAAACCAAATAAATGAATGAATGATCTAATGGGTACTCTAAATATCATGAATACAACTAGTGAATAAATGTACAAAAAATTGCAAATAAAAAATATATGCAATTTATATCTCCATATTGGCGCCCACATGAGAAAATCTTTGTGATGCGAGATCTGCCTTAATCACAATATATTTATTGTTTTTGCTTCATGGAATCAGAAGAAACATCATATATATAAATGAATAATCACACAAGTATTCTAACTCGTGAATTTGTCTAGTTAATAAATGTCGAAATAATTTTGCAGATGAACAAACGGATGTAATATATATCTCTAGATGGAAGTCCACCACCGAAAATCCTTACGATTTGAAATTTGTTTTAATCATAGTATATTTATAGTTTATGATGTGTGGAATGCAATAGAAAACCAAATGAATAAATGAATGCTCAAATGAGTACCGCAAATCAAGTGAATCCATCTAGTTAAAAATGTACAAAGAAGTTTTGCAAATTTGTTGACGTCTGCCGGAGAAATCCTTATGATCTAAGGTCAGCCTTAGTGACAGTGTATTTATTTCTTTTGCTAAGTGGACCGTGCCGGCACCGCACAGTTTGACCATAGCCTACACGGGCTAGACATGCATGCGCAATGTCAAGCCAGAACCACGCCACCAATGCCCACATGAGCGCCGTCGCACCAACACCTCTGCGTCGCAACCCACAGCCACGCCGATTCCAGGGGACTGAGATCCCGTGCCTTGCTGTAGTCAAGTCATCGCGTGCCTTGCCCCCTACCATCCAGCGTCCATGTTGATCCTACGGCCAGCAGCAACTCACAGTCAAAATACCCACCTGTACACAGAACAACAATAACTGGCAGGGGAAACAGAGGAAACAGAGGCCCTTCATGCAAAGAACAGAGCAGAACATAAATTCAGTTAACACGCAGTTCAGTCTATCAAAACAGCAAGAGTTTGACAAAACAACAGTCTTACAAGGCTGTAAACAACGTAACAAAATACAGTTTAATTTAGCAAGCAAAAACACTTCGGTTCAGTTTAGGAAACATCAAGCAAAAAGGAAAACCCAAGCCATTTTAAATACAAGGACATTCAGTTAAGAGGTTCAGGAAATTAATAGGGTAGAAAGGTGAACACGGTACAGAGCCTTTTGTAGGCGTGAATAAACTAATTTTTGAAGCAAATTACCATAGAAATTTGTTCTTACATAATCATCCAAGTACATAGTGTTGGCCCTTTTACTTGTACATTTAGGGCACAAAAGACTATAGTTAGCCCCCAAGTCCAAAATACTATAGTCAAGCACTGTCCAAAATACTAGTCGACACTCCCAAAATACTATCTAACAAGCTTCTAAATACTAGAACAGATCTTCATCATAGCGGGTAGCTGTCAAGAGTTGCGTGTAACTCATTATCTTGTTGCACCCTTGAAACTCCATATTTGCTCCTTCATCGCGCCCATCCTTCTCCACTCCTACCTGAGGCCCTGCACCATCATGTTTCTTTTGTTTCTGCAATAAAACTTCTAATTAGTAATTTATGAATGAAAGGTAACACCACGCCATGTACATCTTGCTACATACCTTTGCTCTTTGGTTTTTGGATGCCACAACTTTAGTTGCCTTGCGCTTCCCTTTGAGTAACTTATCAAACCAATTTTTTCTTCTCCTCAAATTTTTTGATTGAACCTCTTTTTTCTTGAACTTTGCAGCACTAAGAACCTCTTTTGTTTCTGCACTAAGAACCTCATTTGTTTGCTGCACATTTGGGTCAACATTTTCTTCGCCATTACATGGCTTACTCGTCGCATTGGCAATTGCGTTCAGTTTATCCTCTAGTTGTGGACCAATGCAATCAAGTGCATTTCTAACAGCAAACAACATTCCAGAGAGTAGGCTATTTTATATGCCAAAGTGTGAAATTTGTGAGACAAATCTTTGTACCGAAGTTGAGCTTCCAACTTTGGATTTTCTACCACATTCCTTCCTTGTCTATCTTGTATGCTTCCATTGCGTGCTTCTCTAGTCCATCTTTTTAAGAAATAATGTGATGGAAATACTTTTATATTCATCAAATCAAGCACTTTGAGACCATGTCCACACAATATTCCCGTCCTATTGAACATTCCACAACTACATGAAGCTGTTTGGGTCAGAGGATCACCGATCACTACGCGCTCCTCTTCGAATTTTAAATCACCATGCAAACTCTCAATAGCAACTGCAAATTTGTTATGCCCATCCAATGATCTAGTGCATGCAACCATGGATCTTTCATATTCACTTTGGAAAGCTTCAAAAATAACTGGAGTGTACTCTTTGCTTGCTAGCACCAACATAGGTGTGTGCATCTTGATTCTTGGCAATTTCTTCCTTGCATCAAATTCAGATTGCAGTTCCTTTCTTCTTTTTACTTCCACTGTTCTCTCAAAATGCATCAAGAACCGAACAATATGGAAATCTGATTTCAAATGGTTTTTCAATGAATTGTTGAAGCTTTCACTAAGTTGTGTACTTCTCACTCCCAAACTAAACACATCTCTCATATAACATTCAGCCAATTTTTCTTTCAACTTGTAGATACTATCTAACCAAGTTTGCTTGTGCACTTTATGCCTCATATTGTCAAATGCTTCCTGAAATTTTGTTTTGTCCTCATAGCCATATATACATTCACTAAAATCAGTGAGA